TTTTCTGGACATTTTCTTTTCTCTAGCTTACTTTATTGTAAGAATACAGGATATAGGGGACTCCTGGGTGGTTCAGCCTGACTCTTGATTTCAGCTCAGGTCTTTATCTCATGGTTCATTTAGAGCCCCAGATCTGGTTCTGTGGAGCCTGCTTGGATTCTCTGTCTTCCTCACTCTCTGCCCCTCCCCTACTCATGCTCTCTCAAAACTAAATAAACTTTAAAAAAATAACACAGTATATTACACATATAATATACAAAATACACGTTAATCAACTTTATGTTGTCGGTAAGGCTTCTGATCAAGAGTATGCTATTAGTAGTTAAGGTTTTGGGGAGGCAGAGTTACATGCAGATTTTTTTTTTTTTACTCAAGGGGGTCAGTGCCCCTACCCCCTGCACTGTTCAAAGGTCAATTGTATAGTCTTGCTTCCTATTCAACTTTCTATAAAAGAAATCTAATGTGGGTCTTTTCTGTAACTTGATTTTTTTACTCAGTAGATGCCAGATACTTGCCCATGCTGCTAGGCATAGCTGTGCTGTGGTCCATTTTTGCACTACGGAGCAGCCTGATATATGAAGATATTACAACACCTAATCTACATTTCATGTTTCCCTTCTGATAATTCCATCCTCTTTCAAATTCCTAACTATGGTAGAATTTCAGATATATCCTTTTAAAATATTAAAAAAATTGATGTGTTTACAAGAACAATTTTTCTCAGTCAGTCCCTTTCAAGTTGCATTTAATTACACATCTGTTTAAACCAGTTGTACAATTACATAATTTATATATGATCCAATTAAATACGAATGCAAATGGAAAGTTATTTTTATGAAAGCAAAGTTGAATACTTTGGGAAGACTTAATGAAAGTAGCTAAGCCAAACTGTTGTTGAACTAAGTGTAGAAAGACTACTGAAAAGAATAGGTTAAAAAAAATTTCAGCCCTCAGATTTCCTTGCAGGGGTTTCGAAATTCTCATCACACTTTAAAGAAACCAAAACAATATATTTAGAGTGGTTCAAGACTATCAGGGGCCACGTAAAGAAAAGGCTGTAGTCCTACATCAAAAGATTGGCTAAAAATGTACATTTATAGTTCTTAAAAGAAAGCATTTTTACTTTTATGATTCCCAGATTTAAAATTTTTTTTTTTTTTCGGGGCACCTGGGTGGCTGAGTCGGTTGAGCACCTGACTTCAGCTCAGGTCATGATCTATAGTTTGTGAGTTCAAGCCCCGCATTGGGCTCTGTGCTCACAGCTTGCTCAGAGCCTGAAGCCTGCTTCAGATTCTGTATCTCCTTCTCTCTCTCTCTGACCCTCCCCCGCTCATGCTCTGTCTCTGTCTCTCAAAAATAAATAAGTGTACAGGGCGCCTGGTACAGGGCGCCTCAGTTAGTTAGGCGTCCGACTTTAGCTCAGGTCATGATCTCACAGTTTGTGGGGTTTGAGCCCCGTGTCAGGCTCTGTGCCGACAACTCAGAACCTGGAGCCTGCTTTGGATTCTGTGTCTCCCTCTCTCTCTCTCTGCCCCTCCCCTGCCCATGCTCTGTCTCTGTCTCAAAAAAATAAATAAAAACATTTTTTAAAAATTTTAAAAAATAATAACTGTTTAAAAAAAATTAAAAAGATTTTTTTCCTATATGGATCAATTATCATAGTGAATCACTTCAGTAATGGATTCTACTCATTTACTTCTGCTTTTATTTCCACAAAGGATTCAGGTAGCTTACAAAGAAATAAACACTAATAAATAAATTTGAAATAAGGAAATTGAAGTAACAGGTAAATAGGGTAGGAAAAAATGCAACTGTACCGATATTGAAAAATGAATGTCATGTTTCCATTATATTTTGCTCGATAATTTGTCTCTAAGTTTTCTGGTAATCAATACAACAAAGCAAATACAATCAGTTACAATAATCAAATTATCAAGGAGCTTAAACTTCATACTTAGGAAAAAATAATATAGGGATCAGAAAAAAATTCTCTAGTAGAGAAATTTATAAGGTAATGATTGAATTACAGCAAATCTCTATAGTAAAAACAGTACAAGTCCCATAGGGCCGTGTTTTGATGAATACACAGTGTGAAACACATATGCACACATATAGATATAAATGAATGTGACATGTTTATGCGTCAATATATTTTTTAATGAATGACACAATCCCAAAATACAGTTTAGTAAAAACAATTGTAAGAACAAATATCCTATGATCCAATTTCCCCATACTCTGACAATATACATCAATCCAGGAGATTAGATTTTAGAGTAACTTAAAGCAGTGGCTCTTAAAATGTTTCCTGGGGAACATACAACTTTGAAATTCTGATGAAATTCTGACCAATTCCTCCAAATTTTATAGAGTTTCTGGGAAGTTTAAGTACCTCAAAAAGCCTAACCAGGAATGCCTGGAGTATATGACCCAAGGTTAAAAACTCTTGGACTAGAGTAGTCATTGTGATTATAGGTCCTTCATATAATGCTTGAAAACCATTTTCTCTTAGCATTTTGAAGGGTGTTAAGCTTAAGTGCATTTAAGATTACTCCTCTTGCCAAGTACCTGGAGTGAAGCTATTTTAAGCTGTAAGTGAAACGCAGAGCCATATGCTCTTAATGATCCGTTGAGCTAAGGTAGGACTCACTTCCTTTACTGAGAACTGAGCTTAATAAAGACATACATCTCAGCACATCAGTCCAGGTGGAAGCCAAGAGGGTACTTGTCTCTACAGCCAAGATTTTCTTTAGAAAGCAGTTTGGGGGGGCGCCTGGGTGGCGCAGTCGGTTAAGCGTCCGACTTCAGCCAGGTCACGATCTCGCGGTCCGTGAGTTCGAGCCCCGCGTCGGGCTCTGGGCTGATGGCTCAGAGCCTGGAGCCTGTTTCCGATTCTGTGTCTCCCTCTCTCTCTGCCCCTCCCCCGTTCATGCTCTGTCTCTCTCTGTCCCAAAAATAAATAAACGTTGAAAA